TATATCAACGGATAATGTACACAATCAGTTCAAACAAACCGCCAACGGAACTTATTTTTCTTCCGGAGTACTTTTCGATCGAACTAAGTGTGATTGCTAGATCGAATACGTTCGTGAGACCGCGTGGAGGAGGAGGGTATCGCAAATCAAAGAGTCATTCAATTTCCGTCCTGAAGAGAGACTGCGTGTGTGCTCGTGTTCAACTTGCTTGACAAACTGAACTGTGTTTGACTATCATACACTCTATAGAAAACAATGTCGGGCTTCGGCGTATACCCATACCTTTACTTCTTCCATTTGTACTAAGCAATATATCATAGTAAAAAGTATCATTATTCTGAGCATTATCAACCTTGAAAAAATGCAATCCCGAGGAAATTTCGAATTGATCAGCTCAAATGTTTTGAACACCGGTGGCATCTTCTAAGATCGGCTCCCAATGACAGTTACCACCAGATTGGTTCCCATGCTATGATAGAAAAACCTGCTTCTGGATGTGACCGCAAATAACATTCCGAAACAAATGCCCGAGCTATACATGCACCGTTTCCAGGCCACATACACCTGGGGTACATGGTGACTAGAGAGAGAAAAGGGGCAACCATTTCGACTGAAGGGATGGGAAGGGTTACAAATCGTGCTATAACCAGCAATCAGGAACAGAACACTGGTGCACTGTTAACTTACTGAACCCAGCCAAATCTCGTTTTGGATGGACGGCGCATTTCAACCATTGTAAAGTTTCTCATGAGGTTTCAAACCTCATGAAAAAGTAACTGCTGGATGCCCAACCCTGACCGTTGAAATTCCGCCAAGGTGTTACACCCTCCGAGGAGGTTATTCGAACAACCATCAGCAGCAGTATCGGAATCGGCCGACTCGGCATCGTCCACTTTTACTTCAAATGCTCTCTCTCTCCGAAATCGTTGTTGATTTATTCGCGGTTCTTATGTGTATTTTTCGTATGTTCTATATGCCTTTTACAGAGCTAAGCATACACCAACAGTGCTTGCTTTCATTCACTCTTTGAATAGCATATGAGCTATTTATCAGCGCCGCAGTTAGCTGTTTCTCGGGTAACTTAGGAGCGTACTTACATTCTGTGCAGGAGGTTTTAATGAAGTTCGTGACTTAAAGCTCCTGATAATATTCAACATGATGGAGGTTATAATGTACAGTATGAAAACTATTTCCTGAACTCAAAAATGATAATTCATAGAACGCGTATGTGGTCATCACATTGATGTGTGAGCGCATGCATGCAATGGAGATCAGAACTGGCCGCCAGGGTTTGGCAAACGCTATCCCACAAAACTAAAACCCCCAAACAGCATCTCCGAACTGACAGACTGGTGGTCCATTCGGTTTAACCACTTAACTGAAACTCGGATTTCCCTACGCCGGTTGAGATCTCATATCTGAGTGCCAATTCTATACACAGACACACGCAAGTTGCTATCCGTCTGATTGGCTAACTTTTGCTATCCTCTAGAGGTTACAAATCGCACTGACATTGACCTTTCGTCCTTGACCGAGAGTATAAAGCGGATCTTATCAGGCTGTAGAAAATGAACTGTTCTCAAACTTGTCGCGATGTTCTGACCGGTCCGATCAACGGGAAGTTGAGACCTCGATTTAACTTGATTCTCAAACAGCTCGATATGAGTCGTATGCATAGGCTTATAACAAACTAATACACTCTCCTGTCTCGGGGGTTACTAATCGGCTGGGGGACGTCAAAACGCAGGACTTTATTGAACTGTCACACCCATAGTTAGTCATTGATCACAAACCGGTAAAGTTGTTTGGTGTGCTCAACATCTGCAATTCATGATGAGAATCAAGATGATCAATCCACAAGGACGTCGAACTCCAGATAATCCAGCGGCGTCAAACCATTTCTGCTGGAAAATCATTTATGTGAAGAGTTTGCATCCTCCATTGAACACAGATTTCATTACCTGTCGTTCCCATCTGTTTACTAGATCCCCCAATGCCGCTGTTTCCTCAACCATGAATAAACCGCAAAATCCACGGTGCCCTCTTCAGCACGTATTGTGATAAACAAAGAACAGGTTTTCGTAAGTCTCCTAATTTAACTTTCTTTCTTTACTATGTACATTTTTGAATGAAATGCAGGCACTACACTTACAGAAGTTATGATTACAATGCAATTTTAGTTCAGCGATCGGTACTTTTATGTCGGTTCCATGTGATATCTAGATCACTCCGACGGTCATCCGTGTGCTATGATTTACTCGGTGAGGAAATCGGTTATCACATTGTATCTTAACAAAAAGCATGAGATAAGCATACTCATCACATACTGTCCGAAGCCAGTCAACCTTTCAATAGTGCATTAATTGAATACATCTCAACCTCTTCCACTCGCTCCAAGTACAAACATCTTCGTGAGCACATGAAAGTACACAACACACATCGTCTGTCTCCCAGAACGTATTTTTCCTGATTTGTCTACAGTACGCGATTTATTTGCCCATCCACTTTTCTCCCGTTGGACATTTGATAGTAGAGTATACATCTTATTGTGCAATGAAACCATTCCCTGATTTGATTACCAACATGGGAGGAGAGATTTACCGAAAGTGAAATCCGCGACTGAGTGAAATACAAACAGCTCAGTCGCTCATCCATATTTGTTATCTTACACAGCAAACAATCCGTAGGTGTAGACTGATGATGTATTCAAAGTAGGCGTGCAAATATAAAAAAGAACATACGCACACGTACTGTCCGGGCATAAATGACAAATCCGACCCCGCAGAGGACGAAGACGGCGTTGGAAGGTATTACGAAAAGGAAGAATGTTGACGGCAGGAACTATACATGGTCATGACACAAGAGAAGAACTGATGATAGGGAAAAAGGGGAACGGAATTGCCGTGTGCATCATCCATGCTTAAAGGATGCAGAGTTGGAATCAACGGGTCTCCGGACCAAATTATATGGAATAGAAAACAATATCGAATGAATATGGTGCATGATTCACCAGCCACAAAACAAAAAAACGTGATAGATTCGCGCTGCGATGGGCGGTGCGCAGTGTGCTCCACTCAAGCGATAATGAGATCACACAGAAGCACGTGTGAGGCACACGCCTAAGAATATGGACAAACACGCACACACACACAAACATACACAAACGCAAAGATGCAAACAGCTTGGCAGTGAAAATGGTTCCGATGTTCAGGTGGGCGCACAAAGAAAAGGAGAAAATAATAAAAAAAGGAACAGATCATAACAGAAACGCTATGTACAGAAATTTCGCCCTGTCTAATCGGCCACGGAGGCTCTGAGCTCCTGTAAGGCATGTGATACAGCCGGATTCGAGATGTGCGCAAGTAATGCTATAACAGCGCACAGTCTGTGAGGAAGAATGAGGGAAGGGGAGCGAAATACGTTTCGAATGACCCGTGAATCAGGGTTCAACGAAACGATGTGCCTGATTCACATTTAAGAGACACCACAGCTGGTGATGGTGCATGACTGGGATCAGGAGAGAACATCGAAGGCGCCGGCACATATACATGGATGTGTGAATGCCGAATCGATCACAGAAGTCGCAACAGGGCTTGTGCAAATCCAGGACGACTGCAATTGCTGTGTATGCCGTTAGGATGAATTCCAAAGAGAACTAACTGATGAGGTCTTGGCAATGATGAGGATTTGGTGCATGATTCCACTAGAGTGGTGAGTAGGGAGCCTGAGGGATTGGTCATGTGAATACTTTATAGGGAAAGAAACGCAAGGGAACATGAAACCCACAGCGGATGAGCCGGATAGGGGGGGAGGCAGGGCACGATTGTGGCAATGCAATCGGGAGTTGTGATCATGGTTTACGCCTGTTGTTGTGTTCGATCAAGTGTGACAACCGATCGGCTTGTTGCGGAAAGACGAAGAATGGGGATAGTTTGTTGTCTACATACGGCATATTCGGGCAACAACGTTACTCCAGGTTGGGCAATCAAACGTCGACGGACACCGCGATTGTACATGATCACAGGCTGGTTAGGTCGATTGAACACTCGGGAAACGCGAAATCGATCAATCGTGTTTTGAGGCAGACGAGTAGTGGGCCAGAGAACCTCACGTGGAACGGGTTGGGCGTGGATGAGAACGGAGTTCGGGAGAACTCTCGGGTCCGGATAATTGAAAGAGCGCTCAGTCCACGAAGCATCATCTTCCTCTTTCACAAACTCGTAATCCTCACCTACACCATCTACCTCTTCTTCGGGAGTCTCAGTAACGTCCGGTAAAGCCACCATGTTACCGTACGGCCCAGGTGCAAGAAACTTTGGATTGTTTGACAATCGTGTATAGCTGGGTTTGCGTGCACCGATGACACGCGAATCGGACAAGGGAGCGGATGTCAAGACTGTGGACTGATTGACTGTATGCGGTGAACCACGCACAGGACCCTTGTTCGTATTTGTGCTGAGATGCGTTGCGGACTGATAAGGAACGGAAGGATGATCGGTTGGCAACGCGGAAGAGGGAAGCTGGTCCGTTCGTGAACCATAAGACGGATGGCTAGAGTCCAGCGGATGACTGATACCAGAGACTCCGTGTTGTTGTTGTTGTGCCTGTTGAACTGACCCAAGAGCTGTTGTTGAGGTAGCATGATGTGGGGTCTGAGAAGTCGGATGGAGGGCAACTTCGTCCAAATCCGAGAAGTATCCCGAAGGTTGAACGGTAGCAGATCCACGAGAACTTCTGCAAAAAAATAAATTCCAGGTAGAACAGGACAACTGATAAGAGTAAAATAGACCAACAGGAACAAAACCTAAAAACAACTGAACATCGTTCGACTCTGTCAGCACACAAGTTTAGTCCAAGTAGACGACTGTACGGTGTGCTTATTCTGAGTGAGGCTCCGGAATTCAGTTCGGTTCTTACAACCATTAACCATGCACTTTCGCCAGTGTTGGTTGCCCATTTGGATAAAATAGCAGAATGAAGATTAGAACGTCGGAAGAAAATTCAAGCGAAGGATAGCGCATTTATACACGCTGATGTTACAATAATATTGAGTAGATGCATGAGCGCCACTATTTGTGACACCCAGTCATATCGCTGTGTCTCTAACCAACTAATGATTCTGAACTGACAAGTTTCGGTGGTGATTTTTATCCTTCGGACGGCAAACAAAAGTGTGTCTCCAACAACTTCAACGAAGTGAAATTTATCAACTAATCGATAGTGGAAAGCTGTCCAGCAATGGCCTGTGAGAATGATCTACAGAGCTTGATCGCCGAAATTCATTGTGCAGGACATATTTGTCAGACAATATGATGGGGACACCACACAGCTTCTCAACGAGGTTACATGGGTGCGTTTCCTTACAACACGCCCCGGTTCCCTCAACACTGAACGATGTCTGATTTTTTCAATCCAGAGAATGCTCCCATGAAGTACATAAGTCGAAGTATTTGTCTGAGCCATTTTACTCAGCCTCTTCGTGGACTTCCTTGTTAGCTAGAAATTGAGTAATGCTAATGAGCCACTCATGGAAGTTACATATCCTCCTTAATTGAAGCACATACTGTGTTCACGTGATTCTGTATTTGTTACCCCTTTGTTTTCATTCGTTTGTTCCTTTATTCAAGTGGAATTCCACGTCTGAAAACGAGCTGTTTAACTAGGGTAGGTGGTGGCTCATGTGGAAATGAAACGCAGAAGAGATAATAAACAAGACCGCAGAAATGGTGAAGATAAACGAACAGACCGGGAAAAATAGAAACAATGTGGGACAGTAAAATCGCTTTCCCTTCCCCCACACACACACAAATCCTTCCAACTCACCTATAACGCATTTTTGCATGTGTCATGATATGCGACTTCAAATTGGTGGATTGTGCGAATCGTTTGTGGCAATTCTCAAACGGACAGATGTACGGTCGATCGCCTGTGTGTATGCGAACATGGGTGCGCAAATTGAAATCCAACGAAAATCGTTTGCCACAACCCTGAGACACAAGCAAATTGAAAATGTGGAGAAGGTACTTTTAATAGAGAATTCAATAAGACAGCGAAG